ATTTTACTAGCATTTTCACATTAATCATTATATTTATCGAAAATTATTTTGTATGTTAGTAAGGATTCTTATAATAGTTGAAAAAAGTATGACTTTTGTGTCATTTTTACTAGTATTTAATATTTTTATTATTATTATTACTAAAAGTTTAAGAAATAATTATTAAGTTATATACTCTTTATGTCTTATTTTTAGTGGATATGAGACTTGATTGTCCTTTATTTATATACTATTTAATTATTTTATTTTTAGTTGATGTGAAACTTGATTTTTTCAAATACAACTCTCAAGTCTAGTACTATTGGACTTGATACGTGAATAAATGGTAAGTGATCTGATACTTTCTTAAAATAGTGAATTCTAAGCTTAACTCAATCTTACAAAACTAACTTGTAAGTAAGGATTATCTTCTACTTATATACTCTTTAATTGTCTTATCTCCTAGTTGATATAAACCTAAGTTTTTTCCAATAAAATGAATTAAAAGTCACTCTTACTTTTTATCGACCATTTTTAATAATTATTCTTATAAATATATTTTTAATAGCTATTATTTGTTAGACATTAATACTTTTATTGGATAATAAAATAAATACAATTAGTTTATTATCATTAAATAATTATCGTTAATTGTAAATTTTGATATAATATAAATGTATTTTTAGTGATTATGATTTATTAGTCATTAATATTTTTATTAGATAATAAAATAAAGATAATTAATTTGTTATCATTAAATAATTATTACTAATAAGAAATCTTAGGGCGATGCATATTTTTTTTTCTTCTTCTTTTTTTAACCACCTAAATTCTTGAAATAAAACTTGATTAGATAATTGTACGTAAAATTTGTATATGTATATCTTCACAAACTGAACTAAAATCCACATGTTTCAAACTTTCAATATTAATTGGGGGTGTATTAAATGGCACGATTCAAGTTATTCCCAACTGCTAATGCGGTTCCATGGTAAATGCCTTCGTATGAGGTTGATCTGTCTAGCTTCTTTGAAAAGCCAAAACAGTGCCCAAGATGCAAACAAACAATTAGAACTTCACACTCCTAACTGACGCTTTTTTACTCCTTTTTCCACACTCCTATTTGACGTCATGTTATGCGAAAATGACTTCTTCAACTTCACATTACTGCATAGCATGAGCATCTTCTATATAGAATCAACTCAGAACACTTATATATTACCTTCCAAAGTAGTACTTTGTCTGATTTCTCTTAGTTTCAAAGTTACTTTAAAGCTAAAATTAAAAAGCGTAATATATACAACAATAGTATAAAGTCTATTTATATGATATATTAAAGTTGTTAACTTTTATAAAACCCATCTTAAAATTTATTTCGAACATAATTTTAATTGGTTGATAATGTCAAATTTCTTTACAACATTGATGTATAGAAATTAAACTTTACATAAAAACAAAAGGTTAAAGTTAAGCTGTTTGACAGTGCTATAATTTTTTAAGTCTCAAAATTGCTCTTAAATTAAGATAACATGTCCTTAAGTTCTGACAATTGAAATGAAAAAAGTAGAAGTCAAAACTCTTTAAATTAATTTTTTTAAATTCTATTTTTTTTTCAAATTTTTCTTCGACAAAAATAATTTTAAAATTTTATTTGACATTATTTTTTTTCTTTTAAGAAGTTTTAAGCATACTTATATCTTTATGTCGCAACGAGAATCCTAATTATTTTATATTGCTTTCCGTGCAATTTGTCATCAATAGTCGCGATTGTTTTAATATAACCAGCTAGTGAACTGCATTAAATGTTAAAAAAGTTATTATTTAATATATATATTGGTCGACATGAACCTACATAATTATATAAAGTTATTATTTAATATATATATTGGTCGACATGAACCTACATAATTATATAAAGTTATTATTTAATATATATATTGGTCGACATGAACCTACGTAATTATATAAGTTAAATACCTATTTTGGTTCCTTATAATCTTTTTTTGTTTTAATGTAGTCCCATTTTTATTTTTGGTCTCAATTTGGTCCAAATTAATTAATTAATTTCAATTTAGTCCCAAATTAATTAATTGATTTCAGTGTGGGACTTTCCGTCCAAATTATTTAAACGGAGTTAACTTTTGGGCACGTGGATGCCACGTAGATGCATACGTGGATGCCACATAGATGCATACGTGGATGCCACGTTGATGACAATTTTTTTTAAAACGCCTGGACCCAGAACGGCTCGTTCTGAAACCGGAACGGGCCGTTCTGGTTTCATTTTTTTATATATAAAATATTAATAATTTTATAAAATATATATTATTAATTATATTTTAATTTTAATTTTTTTTTGCTAGGCAAAATGAAATATATTAAAAG